CTATTCTTTTTTTTATTATTACTATATATAATAATAATCAAAAATAATATAATGATATTAAAATTTATTAATTTATATAATAAAATATACATCTCTATACTATATTACTGGAAATTAAAAAAAATTATAAAATTAATATTATTGCTTTATATTAAAATTTGTTATTTTATTAATAAAATAAAAAATATTTATTAATAAAATAACAAATTTTAATATAAAATAATAATGTCAATTTTACTATATTTTACTATGTTTTTTTTTTAATTTCCAGTAATATAGTATAGAGATATATATAAATTTTTTTGTTATATAAATTTTTAATTTTACTAATAAATATTTTTTATTTTTATCTTAAAATAAAAATTATATTATATCTTATATCTTTTAATATATATTTATTTTTAGATTTAATTTGATTTTTTAAATTTAATTTAATAAAGTTATTCTAATTATATAAATTAATTATTTTTTTATATTTTAATTATAAAAAATAATTAATTTATATGTACTTAAAACAATTTTATTAGATTAAATCTAAAAAATTAGAAAAAAAATATTTGTTAAATATATAATAAATTTTTTTATTTTGAAATAAAATAATAAATATTTATTAATAAAATTATAAGTATTTATATAAAGAAAAATTTATATTTTATTATATTTAATTAATAAATTTTGTTGTTATTATAATATTTCTAATTGTTACAATATTTTATTATTTTTTTATTATTTAATAACTTTAATCCAGATTTTAATTCAAACTTTTTTTATTTTAGATTTAATTTGAGAAATTATTTTATTACAAAATAATTTAATTAATTTTATTAGTAAATTTTAATATTCTTATATTTATTTATTATTTTATATTAATATTAAACAAAAATATAAAAATATCTTAGAATTAAAATTTAATTAATTTATAAAATTTAATTAATTTATAAAATTAAATATATAAAATATATTAATTTTAGTTTTAATAAAAGTATTAAATTTTTTAAAAAAGTAAAAATTATTGTTTATTGTTAGATTTATTGTTCATAATTAAATTCTATAAAACTTTAATACAGTTAAATCCCTCTATAGTTATGTCTATTTATAGTTGCATACCTCTATAGTCATTCTATTTCACTTTTTATTTATATATAAATATAGTAAAAAAATTTTTCTATAGTCATATTCTTTTTATATTTACCAATTTTGCTTTTTTAAGTGTAATGATTATTAAGGAATTTGACTATATTATAATCAAATAAAAAAGAAAATTATCTAATATTTAATATTTTTTAAGAATAAAATTAACTATATAAATTTAGAAATAAATTTATATGATAATTAAAATATAATGTATAATATCTAAAATTATTAAATATTTCTATTTTATAAAATATATAAATATTTTTACTAAGAAGTAAATACAATTTATTAATTATAATAAAATAAATTTTTTTGAATATATTCACAAATTAAATTTTGTATTACTTTTAGTAAAGATATTTATATATTTTATAAAATATAATCATTTGATAATTTTAGATGCTATATATTATAATTTATAATTTATAATTTGGAGCCAAAAATTTTTAATAAATTCTAAATTTGCTTTAATTTTAGCTTTTATTTATAATTAGCTAGATTGAAAATATTTATATAAATTATATAATACAGTAGCTCTTAAATTAATAATATATTTCATGTTAAAAAATTCTTTTAACTTCTTAAATAAGAATTTTCAACATGAAACATATTGTCAATTTAAAAATTTTTTATTAATAGTCAAGAATCACAAGATTCAGCTGATAAAATTTAATTTGAATATTTATATTTAGTTATTATTTTAGAATTTATAGTATATAATATCTAAAGTCATCGAGTGTATATATTTTATAAAATGTATATAGTGCATACAACCTAATTATATTCAATCACATGATCACAGTCTCAAATTCAAAAATTTTGAACACATAATAATTATTCAATAAAATTGATAATTATTTTTTGATTTTTAAACAAAAATGATAATTATCTTTTGATCTTTAAACGAAAATGTCCAGCACATGTAGTAATATTTTGAGTTATCAGGTAAACTTCCCGAAAAAATCATGTGCCAAGCCACAAATTCCATCACGTGATAATTTCAGAATTTTTTGATTGATTGTTGTGGGTGGCTCTGCTCAGCCATGTGGCTTATGACCTGTCTCAAATTAATGGCGATATATGAAAAGTGATGAACTTTGAACTACTACTATTACTCTATAAAAAATTAAGTAAACTGAAATTAGCTTTCATAAACTGGAAGCTGGTGAGCTATTTTATAAATATATGAAGGGTCTTTTTAGATACATCTGTTTTGTAAAAGCGTGAAAAGGTTTAAAAAATTTATTGATGTGACTAGGTTGTATGCACTGTACCTGTACTAAGTAGTAAATACAAAATTTAATTCGTAAATATGCCTATTCTGGACATATTCATGGATCAAATTTTGTATTTACTTCTTAGTAAAGATGTTTATACATTTTATAAAATACAAACGTTTAATGACTTTGGATGTTATGCACTAAATCATAGAACACCGATCTTAATATGATTTATTTCAATAGCATTCACCGACATTATATTTGTGTAATCCAGGTGAAAGTTTGCTTAGAAAAATTTAACCCGATTTCACCTAGATATTCGATTCAAGAGGACACGGAAGCTTTTACGATCACTAATATTAAGTGAAACTCACCTCTTATATAACAAAAACAATAAATTCACTTTTGTTACTTTCTTGGTTTTAACGCGATTAATCTTTTATCCAATTAGTTTTTACATTTTAACAAAGGATAAATATAAGGAAATAATCATTGTCTATGTTATCGACATGGTTCCACGTGATTTCTCGAAAATCACTTAATAAAAGTAGCACAAAAGTACATGTATTATACCGGAGCACTGCTTTAGTCGCCGACATAAAATCCACTACGTATTTCTAACGCTAATATTGCCCGAAAATGTCTGCCGTCTCGATGTCTGCCGTCTCATTGTCAAACTTTCACCACAAAAATCTTCTTCGACTTTACGAATCTTCAACTTTTTATGACATTACAATAACAGTCGGAGATGTGACCACTAATGAACAGAAAACGTTTTATGCTCACTCTGCGATTTTGGTGGCACAATCGCCTTATTTCAATGCCGCTTTATCTGAAGTCTGGAATAGAAGAGGAAAAAACGACAGACTAATCACTTTCAATAAACCTAATATGAAGCCAATGATTTTTGATGTTATCCTAAGGTTTGATTATAAAAATTGTTAAAATACAGCTTTTTATGATACCAATCCATGAATAAATTTTTTTGTAAAATTTATATTTGTTTAGATATTTATATAGTGGCGAAATTGATTTAGAAATTCATGATTTAGAAATAATTCTAGATATTTTGATCGCAGCTGATGAACTTTTGTTGGATGACTTGGTTAAATATATCCAAGATTATATCGCGGAACATCATGAAAACTCAGTAGAAGAAAACTTTTTTCCGATTTTTCATCTCGTATCTGAGTATTCTTCTTTAGAAAAGCTTCACGAGTATTGCATGGCGCTCGCTTGTAAAAATTCAGAAGCTTTGTTTATGTCAAGCGATTTTATCAAACTTGAAGAATCGATGCTTATTTCGTTAATTAAGCTTGATGGACTGAATTTAACTGAAGGTGAAATCTGGGAAAAGGTTATTGAATGGGGAATCGCAAAAGTTTCTCAACTATTTAGCACCGATCTAGATCGGTGGGTCAATCTAAATTGGTGGACTCCAAATATGTTCAGTCAACTCGCATCTACGCTTCATAATTGTTTCCCACATATCAGATTTTATGGTTTCAAGTCGAGCGATTTCTTCGAGAAAGTTATACCGTATTCACAAGTATTGCCAGCTACGATGCGTAACGAGTTACTCACTTATTATTACAGTCCTGAAAATAAGCTCGATTTGACTGGTATCCGTGGGTCCGTTGATTCCTGTCTTTTATCGGACCATCAAGTAATTAGACTTAAGCACTGGATCGACTGCAGCAGTCAGCTCTTTTTCAAATTACTATTGCGCGGTAGTCGTGACGGATTTATGAGCAGTGATTTTCATCGGTTGTGTGATAATAAAGGGCCAACAATCGTAGTGATTCGTCTAAAAGATCATTTAGAAATAATCGGTGGCTACAATGAGTTCGTATGGACACCATCTGATGAAAAGAGAAGTGGAGAATCAAAGAATTTTATTTTTTCATTCAATATGGAGCATAGCAATGAATATATTCTGAGCAGACATCAAAAACTTTACAGTATACAGGACAATGTCAATACTGGCCCTATGTTCGGAAATAGCGATTTAGCCCTTGTTGGTCCAAATTTCTTGGAGGAAGATAAGAATTATTGTTGTAAATCGTCATACGAGTATGGTCTGTTTGGGGCAGGCTATTTTTATTTTGATATTGATGAATATGAAGTATTTCATATAATATCCAAATAATTTATTGCTCAATAGTATTGTCTCCTTAGTAGGCTTTTTAAATTAACACATTGATAGATATATTTTTTGATTGTTTCTTTATAAATTATTATTAAAATTATATATTATTATATTTACCGCCGCCGTTTGTCAATATTTATTATTATGCTCGGAAATCTGACCCCCAAACTTTCTAAAAATCGTTCAATATACATATTCGTTATCGTTATTGTTCGATATTTCGTATCAAATAATACGTACATGTATTTACGTAGCTTACATAACGATACTTCTAAATAAATCAACATAGTAAAAATAAAACACCAGAATCGAGTGTATAATTCGAACCACTGTTGTCATTGTTCTAAACTTACAAAAACCTTTCGAATATACTTTTGCTTAAAAATAATTTTTATCTATGAGTAAACTCCAAAAAATACAAATCCGTCATATATCCGTGTCCTTTAGCTCGTCTAAGCCACCTAATTGTTGCATGTGTAGCTTGTTTCTCATATACTTCAAAAAGCGCAAGGTTTGATAGAGCGTCTGGGCACGAATTCTCCGAGGATTTCAAAAGCTTTAACTATATCACGTTTGTCAGACAAATAAATCTCCTTCTGCGCATCCCAGTGTCCAGCTTCGGCGGCTCTTTTGTATCAAATTTCTGCTTCTTGAACGTTGATTTGTCCTTTGAAGCCATCTGAAAGAACTCTTACGTAATAATACATCACTCCACAATTACCTCGTAGAGCTACTTCACGGAATTGTTCCAATGCTTTTGTCTCATCTTGGGGAACCGTAACCGTATTGGTAACACCGGCCTAAGGCTGTTTGAACCATTATTCGCAGATTTTTGATATAACGAAATGCTTTCTCTAGTCCATACAAAGATGCTGCTTGATATTCAGAGATAAAAATGCCCTGTTCAGCACCGATTTGGTAGCTGAATCTATATTGACTGATGTTCCGATTCCATAAAGATAGAAAAATCCGAGAAGACTTGTATAAGTGGAGGAATTTTTTTCTTTTAGCATTAATTCGAAAATATAATTTGTTCAGCTCTCTCTTTCGTAACCAATCTTTAAGATAAGGAACAAGAGTCATGTCTCCTTGAAAACTTCGTGTCGTTGAATAGTAAAATTCAATAATTCATCAGGTATTTTTTCATCCTTGTTATTTCGAATTCAGTAAGGGGAGGGACAAAAATCAGGTAATTTTTTGGGGGGGGAGGGGTTTGGAAAAATGTCAGGTCAAAATAACATGTGATCTATTTGTACAAGGATCCCTGTAATACAGTGTTGTACATTTTGGATGTCCAAGCAAATGTTCCAAACGTCCAAATGTCCAAGTGTCCAAACTCTTGTACTATTAAAAAATTAAATAAAAAATATATAATTATATACAACGAGAAATTCTAAGCATTTTTAATTAGTGTCCAAACAGGTTATTTTAATAAAATTTTGAGTAAATTTGATTTTTGTTTGTCAAAAATGTCCAAGATTGTCCAAAGGCATGTCCAAAGCTGTCCCGTGACAACACTGCTGTAATATATATTAGGTGGGGGGAGGCGGTAGCCTTTCTAATTGTTTAAAATCAGGTAATTTCTGTTCCTCCCTAACAGTATTTTTATCGTTATCGTAATAGTTTTTAATCCGGGGGGGGAGATTTAAACATTGAGTGTGGCACAATCAATAGCGATACGAACGTAGTTCAAATTTAAACGATAACCATAATGATAATCTTTTTCATTAAATCCTATCTTTTTATTAAAATTAAAATTTCAATAATATTATTTTTATTAAATCAGATTCTATTACGTAGTGTTCTTGACCGATTTAGCCATGGTTGGTTGACCAATGATCAAGATTGACTGGGTCAAAATTACATACGTAATTGCATATGCGTAATTGGTTATGACACATAATAAATCAAGAAACTGAATATCAGACCTCAAGTTTTACAGCGCAAAAAGATTGATTTCCCAAAACATGGTGTTTCGACTTATTAGTCGCAGCCGATAAGTTAATTCTCGAGGAACTGATTCAATGCATCACAATATATCTTCTTAAATACATTCTGAATCTTTTACAGAATTTTGCCTTTACCAAACTTCACGAATTTTGTACAGATATTACATGTCAAAATCCAGCTGCTATATTCTAGTTAACGATTTTTACCAAGTTACATGAATCAGCTACTGAATTGTGATGATCAAATTTGAATAAAATTGATCTTTGGAAAAAGGTGCTCGAATAGAGAATCTCTCAAATTACAGATGATGGCAAAATTGATTTGTGGAAATATGAATACATAATGAATTTAAACAACTCAAGTGCGCGCTTGAATATTGTTTAAAACTCTGTAAGAAATTCTTCTATGACCATGATCTGTGTGTAAGTGTATATATCATATCAATATCTATCGTTTTGCATTTTGTCGTTTTGATGGCAATAACGACGATAATCTTAAATTTGCATAAAGAAGTTATACTAAATAAGTACTATAATTCTAAAATAAATCAAAATAGTAAAAAAAAAAAAAGGTAGAATAGAGTATATAATTTGAACCACTGTTGTCATTGTTTTAAATTTACAAAAAACCTTTCGAATATAATTTTGTTGAACAATATTTAAATTAATTTTGTTTTTGAAAAAGATCCAAAATATCATACGTCGTCATATATCCGTGTACTTTAGCTCGTCTAAACCATTTAATTGCTGCATGTGTATCCCGTTTCACGTATACTTCAAACCACGTGAGGTTTGATAGAGCGTTTGGGCACGAATTCTCCGCGGACTTCAAAAACCAATAATAAGCTTTAACTATATCACGTTTATTAGACCAATAGATCTCTGCGATGGCATTCTGCGCACTCCAATGTCCAGCTTCGGCGGCTTTTTTGTACCAAGTTTCTGCTTCTTGAACGTTGATTTTCCCGCCGAGACCACGCATAAGAGCTATTGCGTAATAATACATCCCTCCACAATTACCTCGTAGAGCTACTTCACGGAATTGTTCTAATGCTTTTGTCTCATCTTTGGGGCAACCGTAACCGTATTGGTAATACCAACCTAATGCTATTTGAGCAATATCTGAACCATTATTCGCAGATTTTTGGTATAAACGAAATGCTTTATCTCGTCCGTTGTCGCTATCAATTTCAGTATATAAATGTGCTGTTTGATATTCAGAGATAAAAATGCCTTGTTCAGCACCGATTTGATACCATGCAAGAGCTGAATGTTTATTGACTGATGTTCCTATTCCATACAGACAAAAAAATCCGAGAAGACTTGTATAGGTGGGGGAATTTTCTTTTAACATTAATTCAAAAATATATTTTTCTCCAAGATTTCTTTTTCGTAACCAATCTTTAAAATAAGGAACAAGATTTGTATCTCCTTGGAAATTTCGTGTCGTCGAATAGTAAAGATTTAATAATTCGTCGAGTATTTGTTTTTCATTCTCGTAATTTTGTTTTTCATTTTCATTAACTTGCTTTTCATCATCGTTGGTTTGAATTCCAGTAGCAGTATTTTTATTATTCGAGTCCATAGTTTTTCAACAGTTCGCACATCAAGAGTTGTAACATAACATAATACATGTAATACGTAACAGCTGTTTGTGTACGTACATACCGATACACTACGTTGTGTTACGATAACTTTTTCCCATTGGACTAACCTCTAATAGAAGTACATGTACAAAGAAATCTCAGTCGAAGTGATTTAATAATTTGAGTACCTAAGCTACAAACATAATATATTTTATCTATTTTTATTATCATTATCGTTATGCACAATTATTGTTTATTGTTATCAATATGCATTCTCTAGTTATACGTGTTTAATGTTTAAAAATAATTCTTTTTATCAGTCATTTACTTAGCTGAAACATTGCTGTACATGTAATTATACGAGCGCTTAATTTTCTGTTTAAATTAGACCTAACAAATAATACACATAAATAAAATTTAGTTGAAACATAAATTTCCTGTTTAAAATTTACGAGTCGGCAAATGTTTTGCAGCACGGATGGCAGATATCCAAGATATTTTTCGTTTCGAATTAATTCTTGAATTTTCGAAAAGATGTGGGTTCGCTAAAAATAGCAAATAAATATTAACCTTAAAGAGTCGAATTTTTTATAAGTGACTTTTCTAATTACCATCAATATTTATTTTTGCAGCATCATCATTCGAGTAATATTCCTTAAGACGCTCCAATAGTCCTGATGAGATCACATTCGAAGAATTTTCTTCGTTTATTCTATTTTATTATAAGTTAATAGCGAGCGCACTTTCGATTTATCGTTAGCAAATTATGATTTCATACATAAGTTTCCAAAATTCATCTCCAATTGTCTCAACATCTCGCTCACTCTCGTCAAAATAAAATGTGACAGGACTCTTCATTCCACTAGACAACAAAATCCAATCAGGTAGGACAAACATATCTTCCAAGGCGTGAATAGCCTGTTGTAAATCATTATTCGTAGGATTCGTCTCGTAAATAGGGTACAATATTCGGAAAAGTTGGAATAATTTTTGTTTCCATGTAATGCAGTATTGCCATGAATCATTAAGCTTGAGATCGTTGGATGACGAGTAGATGAATGTATTGTGTGTGGCTTTAGCACCGATGAATCGTAAATAGAGAATCAGAGCGTAGAGAGGACTGTCTATGCTGATGTCTTTTTCTGACCATGTGTGAGTAAAGTATTTCAAGAAGTTTTCCTTGAAGCTTTCAAAATTCCAATCGTTTGCATTTTTTAAATCACGTAAATTTTGCATATCGCTGAATTAATTCAAAAGGGACGGAATAAATATACACTATATTTCTAAACAAAAATTTATTTTTATATGTTCTTGTCTCGTTAATCTTTACAATACATGATATAATAATACAAGTATGGTTTCTGCGATTATAATTACCGTCCAAAGAAACAAACGGACAAATTCATTGAGATATAAAATTATTGAGGTCATGTATTAAGTAATTTTTATTAAGGCGTGGGAATTTTTTTAATTATAATTCCTATTATTAGAATTTTATCAAAACAAAACTAACAAAATAGAAGTATTGTTGCATAACTCGATCACTTTTAATGGAATGGATAGTTGCAAGAACCATATAATACACAATGAAAGTTTGAAGAAATCAATAAAGTATTAATTAAGCCAAAATTGTTTCAGTACAATACGCGAAAAATATAAAACTAAGGAAACATGCTATTCAAATGGATCTAAATTATTGCAAGAATAAACATCAAATCAGCAAGAATGACAACTTCATTTGATGAGTGTTCATATTTTGAATCCGAGGAAGAATATGAAAAAAAATCCATTACGAAGAAACGATCAAAGGATCAGAGGAAAAATTCATATTCTGAAATAGAAGATTACTCAAAAAAGTCTATATCAACAAGATTTTTAGATGAAGTGAAAGAAAATTTGGAAAATGCAATAAGTGATTTAAAAATACCATTCAACGTCAACGATTACTTTCCCGAAATGACTGACAAGAAAATCAAAAAAGAATTGCAAATCAAAGATATAATAATCGTTAAAGATGAAGTTTTCACCGTCGAAGATATCGAAATTACAATGCAAAGAGTTAAAGAGATAGAGACACAGTTGGATGAATATGCCAAGAAATATTCTAATGAGCGCAAAAAGACAGAATTGTTTCATAAGGAAATTAAAAGTGAAATTGATAAACTTATAACATTTTTGGAGGATTATTTAAAACAAAAACAGTGTGATCCCAGAATATTTTTGGATGAGTATGCTTATGACGAAACTATTGTTTCTTGGCAAACAAATTTAATGATAGCAAAAAGTAGAACGCCGGATGTTTACATGCTAGCCAAATCCTAAATAATGTATTATAAAACGACTGTTCCAAATCTTTTAAATCCCAAATTCGTCCCAACTTTATATTTCACTAATTTTATTAATAATATATATAATTATAATAAATTTTTTTTGATTCAATTTGTCCAATTATAGCCGTATGTTATATAAATTCACTGATTGTATTTGAAAGTCTACAAAAGTAGAGGAAAAATGGAAATATTATAGCAATATCTGGAATAGAAATGATGCAGCAAGTATGTGACACTTATTTATTATCTGTTACAACTTCAAAATTTTATAAGCCACAACTAGTTGCAACTAGGTAATGCTTTATTTGTCATCATGTTGCAACAATTACCACCTGTGCTATCTTTAGTCTGAAGTATAGTGATCTGAATTGGTCATCAATTGATTATTTATAGTGACTTACACATGTAACAGAACATGAAAATTAACTTATAGGATTTTTACTTTCATGACTATTAGTTTGAACAAAATAAAAAAGTTTTATTGGAAATCTTGAAATTACTAATATTTTTTAAAAATAATTTAGTAACAGATTATTTTGTGAAATAAAGTGATTTAAATCAAAATTTACAATTAGTAAATTTCTCATATTAAAGAACTTTTTTTTATGACAGATTCAAATTTAAACTACTCATTAAAAATGTTCTACTCTATGAAATCTATTTATTTACCAATTTCACCAAAATTTGAGATTCTGAAGAATCAAATCTATATTAGAATCATTAATTCATATATTAATATTTCTAATATAAATTCAGTCTTTAGGATCTTAAAAATTAAGCCAATTTTTACGAAATTTGATAAATATATAGATTTTATAAAGTAAAATATTTTTAATTAGTAATTCAAATTTGAATCTGTTATAGAAAAAAGTTCTTTAATATAAAAAAATTTACTAATTGTAAATTTTGATTTAAATTACTTTATTTTACAAAATAAGATGTCACTAAATTATTTTTAAAAAATAGTAATAGTTACAAGATTTTAAATAAACATTTTTTTATTTTGTTCGAACTAATAGTTATGAAATAAAAATTCTAATAAGTTAATTTTTATGTTTTATTATATATATGAATTACTATATAATCGAATAATTGGATATCTAATTATAATCAATTAATTAGATATAATTAATTAATTATTTTTCTGGTTTATATAATCAAAATAATATGATCAGAAAATTTTGCAAATATTATTATATTATGAGTTTATTATAGTAATATATATAATTGTACTATTTGCTAAATTTATTGATCCTATTAAGAATTATTAAATCATAAATAACTAAAATAAATATGAAAAAACATGAAAAATGTGACAAATATCAAATAATAAATTATATTGCAAATATATATATATATAATATAATTATAAAATATATATATATATAATCAATTGTGATTAATACTAATCAATTATATATATAATTAATTAATATTTCTATTAATTATATTTAACTAAATTAAACTAATTACAGATCAAATAATTTATATTACTACTAAAATAAATAAAAAAAATTTATGTAATAAACTAATTTTATTAATTATATATATAATAAATATATATATTATTACTATTCTCAAAAAAAAATTTATAATTCTATAATTTTTATGATAATATAAATTATAGTATATTATAATTTTATTTAATAATATTCAACCAAATTTAATATTTTATTTAATATTATATAATTATATTTAATATATATAGAATTCATAAATATTACTCTCTTTTGATTGATAATTAAAATATTTATCAATAAATTATATTTTTATAAACTTTAATATTTATTTTTATTTTTCTTCTTATTCTTTATTTTTCTTTGGTATTTTTATATTTTTTTAAATTAATCTTTTTGCTATTAATATATTTTATATTTTATTTTTAATAAAAATATTTTTAAGTTGAATTTCATTATCTTGATTATATTATATTAATTTTATTTTTTATTTGTATTTTTATTTTTATTTTTATTATTATTTTTATTTTTTAATATTGTCTTTTCTTATAATTTATTTCATATTGTTACAGTAATTCTGAATAGTAAATTTCACTGAGAATCACTATAAGCATATAATGTTGGAAAAGAGGTAATTAAACTTAAGTAAAGAGAATAAATTATAAATATAGCAAAGATTTCTAAGGTCTGTATCAATATCTACGGATATTGTGTGTTCAAAGATCTAAATTACAAAAATAATTTGAAAAGAGGTAAAAATATAAAGAAAAGAATAAAATAAATCAAAAGATTTATAATGATTAATAAGTGAAATCACTATTAATCAAAGAAAAATGATAAAATACTAATACTGTCACCATTTGATATTTTAGATCACATATAAAATATCATGTGACATATTTTGATAATTATTAATATTTTCTTTTATAATTTTTCTATTTATAATTTTATTTTTAATTATTTAATTTATCTAATTTACACATAATTTATTAAAAACACCAATCAATTCTTTTTAATATCACATTATTTATTTTATTATAACATTATTGGATCTAAATTCATTTTATT